TGCGTTATTCATAACTCATTCATAACTTTTTAATTATTTACGAATATTAATAAATTTACGAATTGCGAACGTTCGTTACTCCGAACGGTACAAGAACAGGCCCCAGGTCAATAAAGCCAACATCCGAAGAGAAATCCAGTACATTCCACCGGAAACATTATCACATGTGATGAACAACGCAGCGGTAAGGATGCAGGCTGTCATCGGAAGACAAAGGGGTTACATTGATCATCATATGGTGTGAAAAGGGGTTAAAGCATCAACAAGGCAAGGCAGAATTAAAATATGGGCATTGCGGAGAAAACGTACATGCTTTGGTTACATTACTTTGCAAAGAATATCAGAAATTATTATATCACTATCTAGCTAGCGACAGTATGATTGGTCAAAACCGTGTCACATGTCGTGGGATATCTGGCGATATTCAATGGCAATGCTAATCAGATAAGACAACCGTGAGATATCTAGCGATATCCCACGCTCCCGGGAATTTTCAAAGAATTTGTTTTCGTTCAGTGTAAATAATTTAGTTCAGTGTAAGTCAAAATGGCAGACGAACCGAGTAGATTCAATGTATTTCAATGTTAACCTATGTTTTAATAATATTAGGGATGTTTAGCTAGACAGTGATATAATAAAACAAATATTTCACTCTATTTTCGGTGAATACCTGTAGCACTTTCACAAGGTGATATTCCACTTGCCCTTCGGGCTTCGTGGAATATCACTTGTGAAAGATGTACAGGTATTCACCTCAATAGAGTGAAATATTTGTACAATATTGATTGGTTTAGTTGTGCTGTTGATATACCTTTGGGTACATTTTTGAGACACCCTATATATTGTGCAATAACTTATTGTATTGTTGATCGTCCCAGGTAATTCTGAGTGTATAAGTTTGATGCCTACTGCTTGTTTTGATATTTCTTAATGGTCTTTAAGTTTTATGTTTATGGGCCAATGTACGATAATTGATATTTCAAATATTTGCTGTTGTACTAGAGACACATATGTTGATTTCATGGACAACCTTAGTCAAGAGATGAGAGAATTTACGATTTTTCCATCCTTCTTCAAAGGACTTCATTTATGCTTAAATACCCTTGCAGCAAGGATGGATTTTTCACATATTAAGATGTACTTTTCAACATATTTTCCACGAATTTGAACACATTTCTCGTACCGCGCGGTATACGAAAAATGTTTACCAATGCATGGAAGACATTTATGAAACCGCCATTACTTTTGTGATACAAATGCTCCTGGAGTGCCACTTTAAACCTCCTCCAATGAGTAAAAAACATTCATAAAGGAGGAGGGAAATTAGCGCAACAGATTTTGGACAGTCATATGTTGGATTTTGGCCATTTTCTGAGGATTCAACAATTGCACATGTTAGGCCAATGCATAACCTCCAGGAAAATCACTTCTGCAGATGATAAAATAATTTCGACTTTGAGACAGGGTAGATGCAAACAACCGACCCACATGTTTTTCTGAAATGTTTTCCTAATTTTCGACCCCTTCCATCCCTGCTTTTTTAATTTTTCTTGCATCAATATGTTGCGTTTTGACACATAGTTAACCACTTTAAAGGAATAATTGATTCCTTCAGAGGTTTTAAAGATACCCATTATGGGTGACCAAACTTAGCTCAAAGCAATGATTTTTCCCTATGGGAAAATAACATGGGAAATATTGTTTTCCACTTTATCTAAAAGGAATTATTTATTCCTTTTAAGGGATTAACTGTCATACATACATTGTCATACATTTTTATTTTTACTATTCAATACTTACATCTGAGGAAACATATCTATTGTTTGTTTGACACTCACAAGACTTATTGAACGATCAACGAAAATATGTTAGTTTTTCGTTTCTTTGAAATTGCTCAGGTTACGAAATGCCAATGTAGTTCCAATGATGCCGTTTACGAATTTTTAAAATATAACCTGTTTCCTTCGCAATTCAAGAAAAAATCATCGCAATATGAATACATTAGTTTTCGAATTTTGTATTTTTGAAATATCAATTATCGTAAATTTGCCCTTATATGCTATCAGACAATGATTTTATGACACTATTATACGTACATACAGGGTGTCCAGGAAGTAAAGATACAAATATTCCAATTTAAAGAGATTTCCTTATTTTGAGGTGAAATTGCTGCAGATTGTTAAATGACATTTAAGCACTATATCCTGCAACTATCATTTTATATAGTGTCCTATATACTAAACACTTGAAGATGTTTTAATGCCTTGGTTTGTATATATTTCTAACTTTAAATGTTGCAAAATGGTAAAATTGACCACACCCTCTTTTCAACATTTTGATGGGATAGGATTCTAAGATGTTCCAAAAATACTTCCCATAGTGAAAATCTTCATATTGTTATATCAGACATACCATTAATACTAATAAGTGATGCATCCCAATGTATTTTGAACCTAGAAAATGGACGTTTTTTGCCAGTTTTCACCAATCATCAAACTTTGGGGACTGTGGAGAGCGGTTGTACAACTACAAGATATACATTTTAAACAAATTCAAGTGACTATTTACCTCTTAAGGAGTTCTTATTTACCTAGAGAGCATAACTAACTTTGTTATTTTGGACCACTTTTATACTCATTAAAGAGAGTGAAATGTATCAAGTGATGTTGCCATAGCAACTGAAATGTTAGACATATTACATAAATCATATGATGAATTGTTTTATCTTCACTTCTAATATGCTTCAGATGCTTCACCACTGCCCCCCCCCATCTCTCTTAGAATTGTTGATGCTGTTTGTTCAGGTCAGTCTCATTTGCGCCTTGTGAATCTGTGCATTGTCGAGGCAGTACCATCTTTCCTATTATTCTGGTAACATTTTTTCCAAGGCTTGTATAATATCACTATGATTATACTTGTGTGTGAAATTATATAACTTTGTTATCAACGATCTTATTATAGAAAATGGAACACTATGGCAACGTCAAGAATAATACATACAGCATTGGACTAAACAAATGTTGATAGAAAATACAATTTGTTTCAAATCGTTATACTTTATTTTATTAATCTATCACTTCATTTGTTTTAAAAATGCTCTGCATAAAGTGTACCTATCACCACAGTACAGTAACCATGGTAACCATAACTTTTAGACTATGTAATGAAGGTTGGAAGATATATTAAAATAATGTTCCTCTAATATCTGTATCTTCTAAAAATCATAAATTTCTTAAAATTAGAGTATTTGTATCTTTACTTCGTGGACATGTGCACATAATATATGGTTCCGATTATTATGTGTGTTTGCATTTCTCACCTTACCTTTTTTATTTAAATTTGATATGTTTAGTGCGAATATATATGTGTTTTACATGTATATTATTATATATGTTTCAGCTGTTGTGTGTCAATCTAAAAAAGTACTGTATAGTGTTAACATGTACGTTCACCACTAGCCTTAGTCTGTTAAAGAAAAACTCTTAATCCTATCACACCGTATCCATTCGCCCATAAGCATCCTTTTATCATTTTTACTACTTAAGTGTATTTATCACTTAAAAATCAGAGAAGACCTAACAGATTTTACAGAAATCGCCTCCTTCCCCACTTTACTCATTTTGTCCGATTAACCGCCACCCAACGGTACGCGTTGTTTTAAATTGTTATATGACTAAATCAATCCAAATCAAATATAAACATGTCATTGCATTGAGGCTCCAGATAAAGTATAAACCACGCTGGCTTATTTTGAAATCTTACCCTAAGTGTTATTAAATTGTGATATGTGAATTTTTTAAGTTCAAAACAGCGGTTGATGTGGAATACTTTTTGTTTGGTCCCCTGTATTTTGCCGATCACTGGGCTTTATTTAATTAATCTGAGAGGTTGACGTACAACAATTTATGATTACGAGGGTCATTATATTACACGTTTACGTTCAAGTTCTCCTACATAAGTAGTGAAATGTAGTGAAGTAGAGAAGTACAATGCACGAGTGAATGAATTTCGTATATCGACTAAAATTCTAATACTAGTAATGGAACCCATGGGATAGAGGGATCTTCACTTTCAGCAAAAATGCTATTTTCTTCCAATATTTGTTTCTAAATTGACACTTGTTTGAACATATCATATCTATCTGTCACCAACATTGATAATTGTTAAACGTTTTTCAAGAGTATTCACTGTCCAAGTCACGGGTGTCAATATGTTTAAGAGACTTTGGTCTAGGAGTATTTGCACCGACCGATACATCCTCCTGGGACAGAGGTACGATACAAAACATCTGGAATATATATTATATTCTTAACATATAAAAATTGACTCAAGCACCAGTGCGTTTCTGAATAGGTGCGTTACGAACATATTTATTGATATCTCATAAAATTGACAACCATTTGGCTCCTGAATTGGCACAGTTTTACACACTGTCATAATGTTTACGTTGCTAGGGTATCTACGCCCAAAACCTAAGAATACTCTGTATATTTGATAATGATAAAATGAATGAAAATTATCAAAATATCATACTTTTGCTTGTGTAGGTCATTAGTAAGTATATTGTACATCGAACAGTACATTGGATTGCTTCGTATCTAAACACGACACGTGGAAAATAAAATTTTGTACTCACGTCCATTATCGAATTTTCCAATTCCCAGTCCGCCATGTTAATCGGCTCGGAGCGTTAAAATTTAAAAGTAACGCACCTGGTCGATCCCCGATGAGGTATGGTTGCTCACCGTGATAAGATGATCAATAAATTTAAACTTTTGCTGCTAAAATGGCGGGAAATTCAAATATGCGAGAATTAAAATTCCAATAACTTTTTTCAAAGGTCAACCTTTTTTGGAAAATGTCCAATACAGCTTAAGACAAATTATATTTAGATAATTAAGCAATATTTTTAAAAAATTGACCGGAGCCTTTACAACAGACTTTGGCGTAGTTGGTTGTGATATTGCTTCTGTACAGTGGTGTTTTGTTCGGCCTTGCAGCTCGCTCGCAATGCTCTTGGTGGTGTTTATGGTATGCAAGATGTCACATATAAACAGGTCGACTACACTTTTAAGGTAATACAGTTGACTTACAGTTGACTTGATTTATGACTATCAATTTATATGCCGACATTATTGAGTTATAGGCCTACATATTCTAATATGATCCGTGACGTCACAATAGCTACAACAATTGATTTTCTGGTCTGTATTGGAGTATGTATGACCTGTATTATTCACAAATGCAAATAGTTCTGTTTCGTGTCTGTTTATCATATTAGAATCGTAACAAACACTTTTATGATTTATGTTAAATATATGACCTCAAAAAAAGTTTCGGTCATATATTCACAGTGATGTTACGCCATAAATTATGAAATCTCGGTCTTTATTCCTTAGATAAAAGAGAAAACTTCTACAATTTGATTGATCGAAGAATGTTTAAAATGACGTTTGAAAACACTTGTATGATGCAATGTTGAGATGCATGCAGTTTGTTAGTGTTAACTTCAACTTCCGGAGTTCGAGTTCGGTAAGACTTTTTGTTTTCTCGGTTTTAAACTAACCTATAAGTCAATTTGCAGATTATAGTTGGCACAACGTTAGACGATATATATAGGCTATGAAACGTGCCTTCGGTTTTGAATGTGCTATGATGCAATTCCTGATGAATCGGGCGATGAAGAGGAATATGATTTGCCTGCCATTCAGAGGATTGTAGAATTTTATGAGGCCCATTCATACCTGTTTGACATCCGCCATGAAAGATACCGCTCTGACAAAAACATGGGGGTCCAACTATATACACGAAAAACTGTTAATTTAAATTTTATACCGTGCTATCAGATATTTGAAAATCAAGTACAAGGATTGTGAATCTCATACTGCACCGTTTTTCTTCAAACTTGGTCCTTTCAAAGCAAAACAAAAATGTCTTTCTGTTGGTACATTACTCTGTAATACAAGGCGCTTCTCACAGCTGGGGACCCAAACGCCGCTATTAAATCGAGGGACTTGGTACAAACCAATGCACCAGCAGAAAGGCAACTTTGTTCTGCTTTTTATCATACTCAATACTTTATCAATGCTAGTCTTCAACATATTCCCAGACACTGCATGGGCATTCGGCCTTTAATGGAACAAGTTTGATGTAAAACGTTTGCGTATCAGACTCACAATCCTTAATTTTCAAACATGGGGTAGGTCTAAAATTCAAATTAACGGTCGTAGTTTGCACCGCGTGAAACTGAAGGAGGCAAATTGGCAGAGTAAACAACTTATATTATAAAATGAACTAGTCAGTAGAAATTTGGAAGCCGAATGTGAACAGTAAATTTAGTAGATCATAAACAGTAAAGGACGATTCTCGGTTTGGAGAACAGTCTCCTGGGCTAATAATTTTTCATGAAAAATATAGAAATATTACCCAAATTAAACTATGAATATTCAAAAGAGGACATTTAATTCTACAAGATGTAAAAATAACAAATTGGTCTGAAGCAGGGATAATTCTCAATTAGACCGATTCAATAAAATACAAGTCTCGATTTGGGGAAAGAAGTTCATCAGTGTACTGTGCTAATATTTTTTTGCGAAAAATCAAGAAATATTACCCAAATTAAATTATGACTATTCAAAAGAGGACATTCAAATCTATATTATGTAAAAAAAATCAAATTTGTCCGAAGCAGGGATAATGCTCATTTAGATTGATGAACTTCGTTCTCCAAACCGAGAATCGTCCTTTCGTAGGTCACAGACACTTCCAGAATGAATATGAGATCATACGTATATGATTATGTGATTTGTGAATATGTGGGTAAGACATTAGAATGTCATTTAAGAACCTTCTGCCTATCACAAGCCCAAGAACCTAGCTGGATATTTCAGGAAATCAGGCCAATCGTCTTGCGAACTTGTTCACAGCAAATGACAGAAAACATGACCTAAAACCTGTTTCCAAAGGTACATTACCCACGAAAAACCTTACGGCAGGCGCAAGTCGACCGTAAGCCCGACGCCCGGCCGCCGTGGAACCTTTCTGTGGTCTGGCTATGACTTGTGAAAAAAATAGTATAACTCTGAGTTATAATTTCTCCGCCTATCACGCGGCCTGTAAAAATCTGCATACGACGTACGGAAACCGCAAGTTTTCCTACTCTCGCCGCAGAAATTCACGGGTTTTATTGATCTGCGGTCAACTTACGGCCGTCGTACGACAAATGTGACTGGGGTGTTAGTGACACCCTTGGCCAAAGTCAACTTGAATGTATATTTTCACTTGAAATAAACGTCCATGGGGGTATTTTGAAATGAAATGAGAAATAACATTGACCCCCCCTCCCCCATCGAACGCAAATCGGTATTTGTTAATTTGTGGTTTTGATGGTACTGAAATAATTTTAACGGTGGAATATTGGAACTTTACTTGAAAGGTGCAAACGTCCGTTACCCTCACGATACTTTTATTTAGAAGTAAATAAAAACGACTGTGGACTACGTCCAGGAACGGATGTCAAAGAGAAGCAAAGGTTCTTTTGTAATGATTTGGTTCCTAGACAATGTTCGTTTCGGTAACAAAATGTCGGACATAGAAGGTACGATTTTTCTTTTTTCCTTATTTCACGCGTTGTAGGCAGAATCCCCATGATATTTCTTAACACAAACGTGTATCAATATCATATGTTTTAGAAAATGTACATGTTTGTGAAAAAATAGCTCAGAAGACAACAGAATCGTCGATTTAATTCCTCACTTAAGTTACAGAAACGGTATGGGTTAAAAGTGCAGACCTTAACTGTTTTTCGAAACACCGTTTCTGTAACTTAAGGGAGGAATTAAATCGACGATTCTGTTGTCTTCTGAACTATTTGTTCGCAAATATATACATTTTCTTTAACATGTGATACTGATATACGTTTGTGATAAATATGTCGTGGGAATTCTGCCTACAACGCGTGAAATAAGGAAAAAAGAAAAATCATACCTTCCACGTTCCGACATTAAGTTACAGAAACGGTATGGGTTAAAAGTGCAGATCGAACCGTTTCGGTAACCAGCGTAATTGAGTGGATCACCAGTGATGTAATGATGCACAAGTATGATATACTTAGAAATAATTCCCATAAAAATTGAACTTAAAGATCAGTGATGATGTTTGATATCGTTACACGTTGATTGATTTGTTTTTGACTGGTATAATCACTTTCTTTATTTATTAAAAGTAAAACTCATTGCGAGATTAGTATTTATATAAGGTCCAGTAAGTCCACGGACATTGTATTTTATTAACGTGATTTCCCCGCCAATTTATATTTAGTTGTAAGTCTAATTTTTGCGATCGCATGTGGTAAATTTCCGCTTACGTTGCGATCTGCGTTGTGACAACCCCGTGATAAGACGCAAACGTGAAAGAGGAACTGTGTCTTCAAATGTCATCAACACAAAACGTGAAAAGGTCATTCTTGCACTACTTTTGGTGTAATAGTTCCTTATGTCGGGAGAAATTGAAACCACAAAACCCAATTTTCTGAACAAAAAGTGGTGTGTAATTATTGTTGATAAATATTTTGGATACATATGGAACAATTGATTTGATTTGATAACTGTTGAAGTCACCGTACGAGAAAAACATCAATAAGCGATATATACAGCCATTTTGTTAAATTAGTACAATGAGAATACATTCATAATTGTTAAGTATAACTTTATTTACAACTTGTAGAAAGCTTTGCTATTGCTGAAGTATATTCAATATATGGGGGTCGCTCCAACAACCAGTGAATGCATCATGTTGACTGCCAGGACTCCCAAGAGTATACATGGCGTGTATTGAATAATATTGTCATGAGGATACGTCAATGTAACACATGTTAAAACTGATACGTCAAAGTAACATAAGCTCAAAATCACGAATTCGTCTTAGTTACATTGGTCTTACGTCAATTTAACAAAAGCGAGTGACTTAATGTGTGCATAACTGCTTCGTTTAAATGGTAAACCCCAAACCGAAGGCATTTTCAAAGCCAAGATACATCGTCTAACGTTGTGCCAAATTATAATCTGCGACATGACTTATAAGTAAGTTTAAATCGAGAAAACAAAAATCTTGAACACCGGAAGTTGAGCCATCTTGTTACATTGACAAAGTAACTAGTTGTGGAACGGTGATATGTATACAACAGGATAGCGTCTAGTCCATAAGGCAAGGGCACGTATGCATCTGGACCTTAGACAATCTGCATAATATTTCTATCATCAGTTTTATAGAATTATTAATTCGGCCTTAAGCCATTTTCCAATTACATGCAAAAGCATCTATATTTTACTAGTACACATAATGTTAACAGCCATGGTTTATGTGACGAATTTAAAATGTAAGGAGTGAAATTTTTCCATTGTGAATTTATTTATCTATATTCTTTATCAGTTGAACTTTTCAAAACATTAGTTTTTCAGTGTTCAGCATTATATTAAGAGTAAACATGGGTTAATGTTTTAGGTGTTGGACATAGGGGAGCAGAGTAAACTGACATTCCGCATGTTTTCTGTGATCACAGCTTTGTTAGAGAGAATCACTAGTATGGAGTAAGTTTACACTCATGAGATCTATCTACGTAATCCATTTCAGAAGTTCTACAGAAAAATTCAATAAAAATTTGAAATCATCTTAAATAATCAGGAGTTAGTAGCCAATGCGATCTAAACGAGATGAGATCACTTAACGACCCCTGGTAACGACCCCTGATACCATGCATCATTCATGAAAAACTGATGTACACATGTAGATTTTAACATTAAAAGCACACGGGCTATGATTTGGAGAAACAAAGCAATATAACACTATGAAAAATGTGACCATGTATATTTTCAGCTCCTACTGCAAACAACTATTGCAAGTGTGTAATTTAGCAGACATAGAGAGGAAAATACAGCTGTACAGGGACATGTTCTACACAAATTTAAAATCATTTGGTGACCCAAACCACATAACAACAGAGTCTCTAGGTACGTTTTTGTTCACTTGAATTCATATTATATTATATAGCAAGGTGACGCTAACTATTAACTTAACAATCCTGCATTTGTCTGCAAGTCTGTCTATCCGTCTGCTTGTCAAAATAGTTGCACGTTTTGAATTCTCTTTGGATACGGTTCTAGTTTTAGGCTACTTTTGTTTATTTTCAATACAAGAAAGCCCCCTGTGATTTCCAATTCAAAGGTTTGCCTATTTTCAAACCGCCATTTTGGTCGCGGAAACTTGGCATATCGAGCTATAAATTAGAAACCGTAGTTTCGATTTGCATTTAAATTACAAGCATATTCTTAACAAAAAGTCTGGGCCGGAAAATTCAAAACGAGGAATCGTAGTTTCGATTTGCATTTTTTACAAGCATGTTCTCAATAAAAATTCTGGGCCGGAAAATTCAAAACGAGGAATCGTAGTTTCGATTTGCATTTAAATTTACAAGCATGTTCTCAACAAAAATTCCGGGCCGCAAAATTCAAAATGGCGGAAATTCACTTTTTGAGCTATAACCCAGATATTATTGCTTTGATTTGCATGAAAATATACAGGCATGCTCTCTCACATGCGCTGTTAACGAGGCTCTAAATTCTTCCTATGAATTCATTATTCAAATCCATGCAAAGTCCATGCGGCATCCATTCAAATCCATGCAAAGCATGTTAATCCACATGCTAAGTCCATGCAGGCTGCACGAAATATTGTCCATGCTGTCCATGCAAAATTGAGTGCATTTTCATGGTTTTCTATAAAAACCATGCGATCCCCATCTAATTTTGCATGGACTTACATGGCAAGAATTTGTTTATCATTTTGTTCACATGGCCAAGGAAACTCCGTAATTGACAGTTCTGGAAATTTAAGCTACTTTCAATACTTTTAATACTTTTTTACTTTGTTATTCATGCAATACTGCGTTGATAAGAGGCCAAAACAGTGATATATACAAGAGCCCGGATCTAGTGAAAACTATTCGCCGTATTAAAAGACAAATAGCTGCATCAATAGGTTATTTACTCGAACCGAACAAGTAGAAATAGAAAGATGAAGATCCCAGCTATAAAATAATTGCAAAATCTGTCACGGGGAAGCAGGTACCATTTTGTATAAAGAACGTTTTGAAAGGTGGTCACTTTTTGGAATTTTCCAATTTAGTGACGCATCTTCTGAATTATTCTTTGAGCCTATGATCCTACTACAAAACAATCTGGCCAACATCTGTGCTTGTGACCCGCCATATTTCTATCAGTTTTTTTAGTAAAAAAAGACACAAGTCTTTTGCTATGTAAACAATATTAGTACAAAACATATTAAGTTCCAGTTGAATAAAGATAAGAATAAGTCTAAATGACTTCTTTGTTCTTAGTTTTGATCTTCAAAAACAAGGGCCCAAGGTATTGTTTTTTTGTTTGTCTTTTTGAGTTTTACACATTTTTACTAATTCGTGGGCATCCAAGATGACGGATTCGCGTTGGTGACTTCACAAGATGTTATTGCGTCATAAATGACATTTGGCAAATGTTGCCCCATACCAAATTTGAGGTAAATTGGATAAGGAATAAAAAAGTTATGATCAAATAACCATATTTTAAAATCACTAAATGCAACGTTTTACATGATAAAAATATGCACTTTGAAATTCAATAGTTCTTTAAGCGTCCCTTACGTAGAAATAAAAAAATAAAGATTGAATATTATTGTAAAGTATATTTTTAATTTTAATTACCTGTGTTTTGATATATAACATGTCATGTATCATGTTAAAAATCATTGTTCAAGAGTCTCCCGAAAAATAGATGTACCATTTCTATATTTTTTACTCTTACTTGGTACAATTGATCATACACGATACATTTATGCTTGACCATTTAGACTGTCTGAATAATGAATAGAATAAAAAGGACCGCGAGTTGTTTATAGAATGAATCAGGGGAGCTTTTTCTTGCATTTTCATCGGAAAAACATCAATACACTTTTTAAACATTTTATTGACTGTAAGGTGGCACCATATAATCCTAAAAATTATTTCTCATTTTCAAGGATTATCTATGGATTAACACCCAGGTATTGTCATTTTTCAAACTTCAGAGGGCTGGGAATCATTTTAACAATCGCTTTTGAATAATATTAATGCTGTTTTAAATAGGTTTCATGTATGCCAATAATTTCTCAAATTGTCTAAACGATACCCCTTCGATTCCAAGAATTTTCTCTTTGAGGAATTTCCCATAGTAATCCAATGGTATAGTTCCAAGCAGATTTTAAAATAATAGGAAAGTTAATCATTAATACACACCTGATTGGCTTGTGATGATATAAACCAAAACATCTAAACTGGAATGACAACAGTAATACTTGCATTTAACCTCTGACAAAATAGACATGCAGAATGCCCAAGTATGTCAGTAACTTCTGAATCTATATTTGATTGGCCATTTTCAAACTAGTGTTCTAAAATCATAAAAATTACTTGAACCTAAGAGGAAGAAAGCCCGAGAGCTTAAAGATGACAGACATAATTACGTCTCTTGCTTACTACCTTCGTTCGTTAGAATTTCATCTGCTAGTTATCAAATACTACACTTCGATGGGATGTTTTAATTGATATAGGCATATTCCGTACACCTTTCTTTATCTTGATTTGAAATGAGAAGCTGTGATATTGGTTAACACGCCAAAAATGAACATAATATTATTCGAAGCGTATTTCGAAACTTTTAAAGCCGACATTGATGAGATCATTTGTTTGTAGACTTTTGACCAATCAGAGATGTATGTCATCTCAATAGAGGTTTACATTATAAGCGTATGTCATCTTTGAACTCTGGTATTATTTCCCCTCTGCTTGAACCTCACACAGTAACATTCTTTGTAAACCATATTTCTTTTGGTTTAAAAAGAGCGGGAATCTTTAACCAACCATTGATGACCATGCAAATACCATATGCATGGATACCAATCTCTTAGAGTATTTTATACAAGCAGCCTGCATGGGCATTGCATCTTTGCATGCATGCAGCTACCATCCAAAGTCCATGCGCTTTGCATGTGTTTTGCATGGTGATTGCATTCATTTTCTAAAACTACTTCTAATTCAACTATGCACAATATGAACAGGTTGCTAAGGATAGTGTGGGACTATAGTACATATTGGAGACTTGCCTTTCACCCAGGGAAATGTTCGTTACTTGTATTTGGCAGACATCAAAATGGAAATAACGTTGCTAAACTACATATGAACCACACATGTAGGGCCCAATGTGATCCAACAAAAATCAGGGAAGATGCATGTAGGAATACCCCTCGGAAGGCACAATGATTTTGTGAAACAAACTGTGTGCAAATCCAAACGGAAATTTTTCTCACTACTAGGAGTAGACTCTCTTACTGGGGGTCTATGCCCATTAATGGCAAGTAAGCTGTATTGGTCTTTTTCTATGAGCAAACTGCTATATGGATGCCAAGTGATAGACTACACCCATTGTGAAACGGAGCAAATGGAAATTTCACATAGAGAAATCGGAAGGAGGATACAGGCACTCCCAAAAAGTTCTCCGAACCCCATTGCTATCGCAGGTCTTGGCTGGCTCTCTATAAAAGACAGATTGATTTTACCAGGCTGATGTTCTTCTGGAGCATTGTAATATTACCGATGAGCAATACCTGTATATACAAAACTGTTCTGATTCATCGACTGTTGTGGCTTATAGGGGGGAATGGGCGGCACAATTCCCCACTTTCAATCATGTGGGAAACCTTAGAACGCTACAATTTGAATAATATGGTGTTCAAGGTGATAGAGTCTGGGGAATTTCTCTCCAAATCAGCCTTTAAACGTCTTGTGAGTGGTATAATAAGGTGCAACGAAGCCCATAGTGTTATCATGATGTGCTCATTGTATGATTCTTTAACTATGTTTGTACCTACTGTTAGGTCATTTATGCAGCCAATTTTATGGTGGAACATTAGTAAGAAAAGTCCTATTCTCAACAAACAATGTATCCTAATGTTCAAACTGCAAACACGTTGCTACCCTTTTGATATTTGTGCTTTATGCCCTCTGTGCAGCAAAGAAAATGACACCATGGAACATTTCTTATTGCGTTGTGACGCACTTTCTCATGAGCGACATACACTTACCATGCTTTTAGAAAGTGAAGAGTGCCATACAATTGATGAAAAGTTGAGCTTCATTTTTGGTATAAATCATTTGAGTTTGGACCAGGTGAGCCTTGATTCTCTCTGTTCTGTTTCGATTAACATTCACTCTATGCATAGAGCCAGGGAGACAATGTTAAGGCATTTTAACTTTTTGTACCTGTAACTTTTATATTACTCTTTTCTTTTACCTTATATCATTGTATACCATGTAACTGTCTAAATGAATAGACGCAAATAAAGAATACACACATACATATAGAGACTATACTATACTCTATACACTACATCAAGTACTTTGTATCTCGAGAAGTACTTTTTGCAATGACTCCAGACTATTGCATGGCTTATCAATTGATAGAGGACCCAATTATTCAAATTAGAAAATAACATCCACTATTTTGGCAAAGTGTTCATGAAACAGTTCGATATTAATTGGAGAGCAGGCCCTTATATTATCATCCTGCCTGAATACCTCTATGTGCGCAAGTGCTGGAGTGTATAAAGTGATAGCTAGCGTGTGGGAGTGTGTAAAGTGCAGGAGTGCATAAAGTGCAGGAATGTATACAGTGTTGGAGTGTATAAAGTGCAGGAGTGTATAAAGTACAGGAGTAAGAAGTGCAGGAGTGTATATAGTGCCGGAGTGTATAAAGTGCAGGAATGGGTAGAGTACAGGAGTGTTTAATGTGCCGGAGTGTGTAAAGTGCAGGAGTGTGTAAAGTGCAGAGGTTTATAGTGCAGGAGTGTATAACGTACAGGAGTATGAAGTGCAGGAGTGTATATAGTGCCGGAGTGTATAAAGTGCAGGAATGGGTAAGGTGCAGGAGTGTTTAATGTGCCGGAGTGTTTAATGTGCCCGAGTGTGTAAAGTGCAGGAGTGTGTAAAGTGCAAGAGTGTGTAAAGTGCAGAAGTGTATAAAGTTATTTATTCACTTCCATGTATGTTTAATTTCAGAAATAGAGCTAATGGCTGGAGGGTTAAACAAGCATCAGCAAATATACTTGATGGATAAATTACGTGGAAAGCCTCCTAAAGTAAAATATGAGGTAAATGTAATATAGTATAATACATACATACATACCAATTGTTTTTAATGAGTTCGTATACTTCTGATCAAGATGAATTCTTTATAGTATAGTAAAGGGTTTTTGTCCTGCTTTTTGGCTGAATACATTTAATGTCTTAATTATGCCTTGGTCACATTTGCTCTGATTTTCAATACGACGCCCTGCCGATTGAGTATTTTGTTCAAAATTGAATACTAAATTGAACAAAACACTCAATCGGCCGGGCGCCGGCCGGTGAATCGGAGCAAATGTGACCAAGGCATTTGTGTTCCTTTTGCGTTTAGGAATTTCAAATAACCACCAATGATGAGTCTGCGTTATATGTCTGTGTTGGAGAGACTTTTATATAATATCATCCATTGCTATCTGTTGTCAAAGTTTTTAATCTATTTGGGCAGATGTATTTCATAAGTTCCACGTGGTTTTATTTCACTAGATATAATATGATATAATTATTTATTTTGCTCGTAGATATCATTTCTGGACTATATCGCCTACATTCCACTGTTCCTGTCAATGCACGAAAATATATGTGATAACCCACTCGATATGAGAGACACCAAATATGAGGGTAAGCTGGTGTTGTAGATATTAGCAAATAATAAAAATGTTATGTTAATTGTTTTTTAAAACACAGTACAATACAAGACATTATGTTTTCCAGTCTTAGATTAGCATAATGTTTTCTACAGTATAATTATGTCACCACCAAAAAGTGGTGACATATTGTTATGGTCTCCGTTTTTTGACGGCGCTCGGCGGTTAGCAATCGGCGGTCGGCGTCTTAACAAATACTGAATAGACTGACTTCAATTGTTTTCAAAATCATCTACGTGTTTTCAGAAGTTCAAATCTGACTTTATATTTAAGGTTTGACGTCGATTTGACCTTCTTAAGGTCTAAAAGGTATTTTTTCAACTTGCTTTAAATTGACAATTATTTTTCAAAATCATCTACAAGATCTCAACATTTCAAATCTGACTATAGATTTGATCCTTAAATGACATTCTCTAGGACAATATATATTTGACCTTTAATGACCTCCTCACGGTCAAAAAGGTCTTTTTTATCTTGCTTCAACTAGGCAGTGACATTTTGTCATGTTAATGCCTTGTTTGAAACGAAAATAGTAATTTACTCGAATTTACTTGAAATTCGGTCACTCTAAGCTTTAAGAGTTGATTACTGAGATGAAGTGTACCAGGTTTTTAAAGTTTATACAAAATAAGAAAACGAAGATGTTTTGTGAAAAGATCTCAAAAGAGCAAGCTCATATCTTGATTCTAGATAACAATGACAAAGCTGATACACTACAGAGAGACATGAATCCGTTGAATTGTCCATTGAAGACCGACTCCTCGTATATGATGAGATTGAAGGCAAAACTGATACTGGAAGGAAAACTAAGAGTGGAAGTTTCGCCTCAACAAATTAGCCTGTATAAAAAATATTATAAGTAAGGAACTTATTTAGAGCTTTGCAGATATTCTATAAAAGTGCACATCGCAATACAATGTATAGCAGTATAGTTAAATTCGTGAAACAGTTGAGGCAAATTAAATGTCAGTGAAGTGGTTAGCTATTCTTGACTTTATACGAGTACCAAGGTCGATTGAATTGTTTGTCAGTTTATAGCTCTTGAATCTGGACATATATATTTGTTACACCATTGTGTTAAGATCAATTGTTTGCTAGCTTTGATCAAATACATTCCAGACCATATGAAGGCATTTTATGTTCAAAATCTATGTTTTAAGCCTTTTCTGTTAAGTAAAAGGTGAGGGATGGGATACATGGTTGATGAATTGAAATAGTTCAACCCTACGACCGCCGCCATATTCAAATTCATGATTTTTTCAAATGGTTGCTTGGATTTATGAATTATTATAATTATTTTTCACCCATTTAACTATGTGTTGATGTATCCATTTTTGTGTTTTCAGCATGCCAGAAATGATAGGTGCCACCACTGTTTGAGTGAACCAAGTGTTGATAGTGCTTAAGCACGATGATACCATACTCTATTGCGATGACAGTTCAATTACAACCTGTGTTGATACCAAGTTGGGGTGTTCATAGTGCTGAAGCACGATGATACCATCCTCTATTGCGATTACAGTTCAATTACAACATGTGTTGATACCAAGTTGGAGTATTCATAGTGGTGAAGCACGATGACACCATCCTCTATTGCGATGACAGTTCAATTACAACCTGTGTTGATACCAAGTTGGAGTGTTCATAGTGCTGAAGCACGATAATACCATCCTCTATTGCGATGACAGTTCAATTACAACCTGTGTTGATACCAAGTTGGAGTGTTCATAATGCTGAAGCACGATGATACCATCCTCTATTGCGATGACAGTTGAATTACAACCTGTGTTGATATCAAGTTGGAGTGTTCATAGTGTTGAAGCACGATGATACCATCCTCTATTGCGATGACAGTTCAATTACAACCTGTGTTGATACCAAGTTGGAGTGTTCATAGTGGTGAAGCACGATGATACCATCCTCTATTGCGATGACAGTTCAATTACAGCCTGTGTTGATACCAAGTTGGAGTATTCATAGTGGTGAAGCACGATGATACCATCCTCTATTGCGATGACAGTTCAATTACAACCTGTGTTGATTCCAAGTTGGAGTGTTCATAATGCTGAAGCACGATAATACCATCCTCTATTGCGATGACAGTTCAATTGCAACCTGTGTTGATACCAAGTTGGAGTGTTCATAGTGGTGAAGCACGATGATACCATCCTCTATTGCGATGACAGTTCAATTACAACCTGTGTTGATACCAAGTTGGAGTGTTCATAGTACTTAACCACGATGATACCATCCTCTATTGCGATGATAGTTCAATTACAACCTGTGTTGATACCAAGTTGGAGTGTTCATAATGCTGAAGCACGATGATACCATCCTCTATTGCGATGACAGTTCAATTCCAACTGATGTTGATACCAAGTACGAGTGTTGAAAGTGCTTAAGTACGATGATATAATCTATTTTTATGACTGTTCAATTACAACCGATGTTGATACCAAGTTGGCAGTGAAACTCGCCTTCAGATACATGAATAGATGTTTTATTAGAAGCTTTGTTAATACTTACGCTCAAAGTGGACTCAGTATCGGAATGACAGTGCTAGAACTATTGGCAAACTTTGGACCATTTGGTGGTGAATTCAATGAAAATGAATGTCTTAAACATTTATAATCGTGATGGCAACATATATAATGAGAATAACGTTTCACCTTCTACTTCCCAACTGACTATGGCATTTTTCTTCAATGACATCCAAGGAGTTACCGCAGAACAGATGCGAATATATTTATGGGAAGCGATAATCGTCTAAAATGCACTGAATTAGAATAAACGATTGTGCAACTTTTTGCTTAGAAATATCAACTTTTTACTTAGAAAGGACAACTTTCTGCTTGAAAGATCAATTGTTTCCATTGTGTTCCCGGAGAAGTAAATGATATGTGGAACTAGCCAAACTGACTGGAGGTCCAAACAGAACAACTCTGTTATCTTTGTTCAAAAAAATTTCAAAATCCGGCATGTTTTTTTTTCATTTTTTTGATTTGTCATTTTCTGTTAACTTCCATGGCACCTTAAAGTATACGTTTAAGTTGTACTTTCACTTATGTGCGAAATCTCTCTAATAATTGACTATTTCATCGCAAAGACTGCATCATATCGATTGTACATTAGCTGGAATTAATTTATTTGCTAATTTACTTTTGGAAAATCGACATTAAGTATGTGTAGCCCTCGAAGGCACCATCATCGACACCATGCTTTAAATCAACGGTGTCGAGATGCCTCTGCACTATTCATGATAATCCCCCATTTACTTCTTTGAAATATAGATTGCCTTATTAACGGATGTAAAACATTTTCGCAATACATTTGAATATAACATATTTAGCTTGTTACGTATTTTTGGCCGTAAAGTACTATTTTTCAAAATCATCATTGACTCTACAAGTACGTTGTCTTTGCACTCTGCTTTCAATCAAAATCAGGTTTCAATGTGTAGGCAATGTATATGGCTTTTTAGGAGCAAGAAAATACATGTATGGTAGTCCGTTTATTGTTATTATACCAGCATTACAAATGATTTTATTTTGGTAAGTCCATGAATGAAGAAAAGGAGTATGTATGGGTCAACTCTAACACATGATTTGAATTTCGATGAACATGTTTGACCTTTTTGTCCTCACTCCACTGTCAAAATCAGAATGACAATTTTTGACAATTTCTATAGATGGCGTATTCAACATGCGAGATATTTTGATTTTTCGTGGGGAGTTTTTTGATTCAGGTTGGAAACTCCAGAAGAGTTTCCCATAGATGGCCATTAATACATTTTATCCTGTATCTTATTAACGACAACATTCCACAGTGTTCGGATGAGACCCGCCTAGCCTGCTATAACAATCTTACCATGGGTTGTCCACCGAATTTTTGAGATAAATAAACTTGAAGACACTAACCCCCTCTATCGTCAGATTTCTCAGAGAATGCTGGTAAAATCACCAAGGTCAATATCACCCCACCGCCAGCTTAAAACGAGATTTCACACAGAACTTTGACATGTTTTCAGATAAATTAGGACCTTATAAATATCGAGTCCCGATTCAATTCCCAAACACCAGATGGCGCTCCAATGGGTTAGGGAAGGAGAAAATGACTTTTAACAGAAAACCAAATCACTAACTCAGGACTATATCCTTCAAACTTTGTTCACCGACAGATGATATACTTGGGTATGATGGCATGATTGTAAAACATATACATGGCCATAAATCTTACATTAATTTTCTCTAAAAGAGATCATTTGTAAGGGAAAACGCATGTTATACATGTATTATTTGGTTGTTTTATCCATCCCTAAAGTGTTTTTAAATCACTTTTATATGAATAGATGACGTGTTAGGTTGACAAATACACTAATAATGGCAAGAGAAGGAATGCCAAAGAGCTTTAGAGATGACAGACATAATTACGTCTCTTACTTGCCATATTCGTTTGTTAGAATTTTCAAAAATGTTTTAAAGGTTTCACAGATCCGCAAAGAAGATATCCATGATCTGTTTCATCCAGAATCTTAGGGACAATTTTTGTAATGAATTTTCCATGTAATATTTGTCCCTATGTATTAATTTATAATATTTGAACCAAATCCGTCCACTGGTGTTTGGGTTGTTCTATCGCCCTCGGTCAATAGGATAATTTCCTTGGCCGATATCATATTTTCCCTCCCATTACATCCAGTTACTGTTTTTAAGGATGCTACGTCTAATGGTGTCAAATAACATGTCCCCCTTGATTTAAAGAGTATAGACGTTTGTGCATAAACGTTCACCATATTGAGTTAGTCATCTGAAACTTCTTGCTCCATGAAGCCAAGTTTTAGGTGCAAGAGAACAATGCAGATATCATACAGACAAAGAAGTTATGCAACATTTTTTCCGATGTTAAAGTTGAGGGGGAGGAACATATTTATTGGACACTCTGTATATTGAACAACCTTGGTTCTTGTTGGTATAGGCCAGTGTCCATAATTGATAAAAATTGATAACGGAATGGATTTTAGGCATTTTTGAAGTTTGAAGGCTGCTGGCGTTTTGTTGCAGAACATATTTTATAAAATAACTTGGATTCCAAGCAACCGTTGGTATGACTGATTACTCATTCGTTCTAACATCGGTTAACTTTTGCAAATTTTTGAGGAAAATATAACAATTTCTAGAGTACACAATACTATAATCTTAAGTGAAATGCATCATTTATGTCATTTTCAAATACTATCGGATTTTGGGTTTGGCATGCGATTTATTTCTCATTTACTTGATTTTAAATAAACGTGCTAGATTTAAGATTACATCTATATTCACCTTTCCACAAAGTCAGCTCATGAATATTATAATGAGCTGCTTAAAAATCTGTGACGCCAATGAGAGAAACTTTTTCCAGCGAAAAACAAATGCAATTGAGTTTACATGTAAAACTTCGGTTGATTGCTCAAATTGACATTTATTTACGCCTTCTAAGCGATTTAAATATTAAATTTCTGTTCATAATGAGTAAATAATTTGAAGAGAATTACTCCAGGTCAGTGTTCAATCATGATAGGAACAGGATAGGAACAGGATGTGAACAGGTGAAATTATCATAATCATTAGTTCACCAACATTATAACATGTCTCTCATGCATAAAAATATAGAGATAGACAATCTATTTTAAGTTAATCTTCAGTGCCATTTGATGAATGACCTGTTCAAATTAAAAACATTTGCTCTTATTCATTAAATCATTGACTTCACTACTTCCATAATTCAATCAACTAAACGATTACTTCCTATTTATTTCTGCAAGTCATATCAGATCGTATCTTGAAAATATTATACTTGAAAACATTGGGATATAGAATTGATATCTTAGAGGAGCGTGACATATACAGAGGTTATCCTACAGGCAAATATAATATATCTGCCCGAGGGGCGCATGTCCCGAGGGAAAATATATTATATTGGCCAAGGGATAATCCCAATATCCTGAACCGACTATAGGATAATATGTTTATCCCATACCAATCTTGGTCTTCTGGTTCACATTGTTCAATCGTGGATATATTTTAGAATATTCAAGTCCAGTTTTGTTTTCTTGGCCGTTGGCGGATTTCCCTGTTCTCTCAAATATTCCCAATATACGTCCAAATATGGGGTAAACATGTGTATATACAATGTATTCCAATGTATATTAACCGCTGCGTATCTCCCGATCCAAATATTCGCGGGAAATTCTTTTTATTCAGTGTAGAAAAAGTCAATTTGTTAAGATATCTTGCTAACAAAATAGATCCAGCAGACCGTAGAATTTTTCTTAGCCAAAATGATGATGGATTTCTCGAAAATAATGAGAATGAGAACGCTTAATAGAAAACAAACATGGATATGAATGTCCTGATTTCACTTGTGAAACCTCACTTGTC